GAGTCGGGATCCATGTTACCTGCAGTTGAAAGTGCCCTGATACAGCAAGTCAGATCAAGTGGTTTGCCTGGGTGCAGGTTACAATTAATTTATACTGGAGAGCAAAGCAGAAGGGGACACTGCTTAAGATCAGAAGTTCTACAGGAATTTTATTCAGATTTTTCCATGAGTTTGGTGGGAAATTAATATATCTTCCTTAAAAATTTTACAATCTAAAACCATCTGTTCTGTGCCACAGAGCCTTGGAATCGTGGAGTCTTGACGGCTCATCTATCTCTAGGTTAGACTAGACCCAGAATCTTTTCCTGAGGGCGAGTGTGGCTTTGGCCTTGTTCTGTCCACATGACCGTCCTGGTCAGGGTCCTTAATTTCAGTAAGAGGATCCTGATTCTTACCCTTGATTGGCTGCCAAAGCATTTGGATCTGGTTTGAAATTAGCAACCCAGAATATCTCCATTCCAAGCGTTTGCTAAATATTACAACTTCCAATTCTCTATGGCCCCAGACCGATGCAAAGCTCAGCTGGGAGAAGGGAGCTCGCCAAAAGGCACAGAACCCATCATTCTGCCGGAGATTAGCAACTTCGACTTTGGCTCCAGCAGACCCTCCAGCGACTGCAGCTGCACTGACAAGACACCCATCAGTCATAAAATTACCCTTCAAGGTTATGTTTTCAGCTGAAGAATTTTAAGGAAACAGCCATCTAAGGTCTGTATTATACGTAACCCTACTGAAGCCCCATAGGCCCACCGTGCTGCCCAGCAGCCCCCTCATCTGCCTGTACCGAAACCATGACCCACACCCTCCAGTCTCAGAGTGGTGCCAGCATCCACAGAGAAAATGCCAGAAACCAGCTAAGATGTCAAAATGCAGCAATCTCTGACTAATATTTCTCAAACACTGTGCAAGACACAGCCAACAGCCATGCTTCTTGAAACATTTTTCTCCTTGTGCTTCTCTCACGCCTCATGGCTCCCCCAAAAGCTCCCCAAAGGCCCCTCCACCAACCTGAGCTCACACGCCTCGTCCTCCCAATTAGTCATGAACAAAATCCAGGATAAAAAGAGGAGTCCGCAAAGGCACAATGCTCTTTAAACGGCAGAGGGGGAGAAGAAACTGAGTGAGCAAAGCCAGAACACTCTTCAGCAGCTGGGGAGTGGGAGAGGCTGGCCGCATTCACGCATTGGTACCTTTGCTCCATCAAAATCCCTGTAGGGACTCGACAGGACAGGACACGCCGTTACATCACTGTGTCCTCCTTCCGTGAACACAGGAAACTAGTCCAGCGTCAGGACCACGGAAGCCTGTGCTCCTCCTAAACAGCAGATTCATTTCTCTGGATACTGAGAGTCCTCTGCTGGAACTGCGCCTGTGCTGCACACGCCTCAGGAAGCCTAGAGCCAACTTCCCCCACAAGCCCCGGAACGCACAGTGTAAGCCCACGGTGTGCACACGCACGTGCTGACGGCACATCTGGAGTGGATATTTCCGAGGCTCACTTTTCTCATCTACCCACCCCCTCATCTATTTAGGCTCCATGTAATTTTATAGATGATTGCAGATCCTCGTGGAATGAGGGGATGTGTTGAATGAATGAATGAATGAACGAGAGCACACTCTTTCCTCTGGCCCACCCTTCACAAGGTCGAGCTTGCCTTTTCCACGTTCGCCCCGTCGTACCACAAGCCCACTTTGCCCGGGGCTCCCTGCTCCCTCCCAGTGCCCTGGATCGAAAGCTCCCTGGTCGTCTGTGTCCGTGCCTTCTCTTCCAGGCCTCACCAGGTCCTCCACTTCCCACTCGCTCGCTGCTGCTCGTCTGCCCCTTCCCGTCCGTCCTCAGGGACGTGTTCTCGCTAGGCCCTCGTCACGGCATCCTGGACCACTGCGACAATTTGCTAACCGATTTTCTCCACCACAGACCTTCTCCATCTGGATCATCCTTCAGATGCTGCATCCTTACTCCCAAAGCACCACCTGATGCATATAAACTCCTTTTTTTTGTCTTTCCTAAATTTAAGCCTCCAAATTCAAATTTTATAAAAAACCATTGATTCTTTTACATGTAAACTATCTTTGAGTTTTCCAGGTGGACCCTGGGTAACCAAAACGATTTATCCCCTCACCTCAGGAAAGGAGAGATGCTGAAGTAATAAGGTATGTTTCTCACTCTTATACTGTAATTAGGTCTATCAAGCATACACGCAACCAAAATAATTGTCAATGCCCACATTTTGGATCCAGCTGCCAGATGAGCCTTTTCATTTCTTAAGTAAAACCTAAACTAACACCCTACTTTGGACATATCCCTATGCTAATCCCTTCTCATGACTGGCACATAAAGGACAAGGTTACATCTTAAGGGCAGTTATTCAAAATCAGGAGCTCGTCAAAAGCCCGGCGTTTATGTCTCTCTACCGTCATCTAAGGCTCGCCCACCTCCCTTATCTGCTCGAGGCAGCCCGACAACGACCAACACTTTAGGCCACTTGGTTATCACTATGAAACTCCTGCGCTGTCTGCTCCTCACACACTGCCTGAAAGCTGCTCTGATCTGAGCTTAGCAACCTGACTTTCCCTTCCTCACGTGTGAGGGTCTCGCAGCATCTACGAGCCGCTCCGAGCTCGCCCAGCTCTGACCTGACTGCGGTTCAGCCCTGATGACAAACCCCGTGTTGATATTGTTTGCTGATGGCTCCCATCAGAAGAACAGTCCACGTAAGCTCTGTGCTGTCTGAATAGATTCTACACGTTCCATTACCAGTAACCGGATCTCCGCAGATAGCTCTGCACGACTACGCCACAATCAAGACAGCGGTCCATGATTCTGACATATTAGAAAGACAAAGCATTTTTCTTTCTTTTTTTTTTTTTAGGAAGATTAGCCCTGAGCTAACTACTGCCAGTCCTCCTCTTTTTGCTGAGGAAGCCTGGCCCTGAGCTAACATCCGGGCCCATCTTCCTCTACTTTCTATGTGGGACGCCTACCACAGCATGGTGTGCCAAGCAGTGCCATGTTCGCACCCGGAATCCGAACCAGCAAACCCCGGGCCGCTGAGAAGCGGAACGTGCGCACTTAACCGCTGCGCCACCGGGCCGGCCCCACAAAGCGTTTTTCTAACTTCTTTGGACACTCCAACCAAAAATTTAAAAAGAAATTCATCTAAAGAAAACCTCAGTAACTCGGACTGAAGCCCAGTTTACTATTATACAAGACAAACAGCCCTTTCAGTGTTGATAACATTAAAGACGGCTGTTGAGTCTGATTCCTGAATAAAATGGACTTACTCAAATATAAAAATTTACTCCATAGGAAGAAAACGTAGTGAATGTTTCAAAATTTTCTCACATCCCTTAACGTCTTTCAAACCACGTCTCCAGGTTTTATACTCACGCACCAAAGATGCCCCAGCAACAGCAGCAGGCGCAAATGGGCTCAGACTTTACAAAACTTTGGGTGGGAAAAATTTACCTGAAAGACTCAACAGGTGGCCATATCTTGCCTTATCTATAATTATCATAATCCAGGAAGAAGTAGATGATTTTTCAAAAAATATCTCACTTGACAGTTAAAATCTTTAAACCATGTGATTCCTGAAAGGCCAAGAACATACAATGAGCTAATGCTATTTTATAATCAAAACTGTCCCAGTTTTCCCTCTTAATAGGATCTGTCAGAATCCCCATAAATCCTCACTGTATAAAACTACTGCTCAAGCCCTGCAAGGCTCGACTCGACTCTTCCTCTGACAGACTCCGTCTGGAGCAGATGTGAGCTGCGGTTCCAAAAGGGCCGTGGCTGAACTCACCACCACATGACACAGATTTGGGAGACCAAATATAGTCAGACAGAGTCCAGTGAGAGCCAGCCTTGGAACGACACAGAACGGGGCCATGCCGGGTACTCCTCACCACAGAGGCCGTTCCCAGGTGCCCACACACACATCGGTGACACCTTTGCCAGTAAGCACACTCGGACCGTCCCTCTGGATCCTCCAGTCTGGACCACTGCGTGTCTGACCCAGGCTCACCGAAGGCCTCGGGAAGCCGACTTCTCCTGGGAGTCACAGGCCCCCTTCCCGACCCTTGTGGACCAGAAGGGCGACCTCGGGTACAGATGGCTCCCTTCCAGGACCTTTGGATGAACATCTAGATTGGGTCACAGGAGTTAAGATTTATTGTTTGTCTTTTTCCTTTTTTCTTCTTTCCTCTTGTGTTAATCTCTTGTGCTCTCTTTTTAACTGCTTCCTTTCCTGGAAAATTCTCTAAACTCAATTTGCCTTTCTCAAAGAATTCCAGTGACCACCAAACTTTCTAAGTATTAAATTTGACATACAGTCTCAGAACTCACTAAAATATATATATTTTAACCTTGACACGTGTACATGCTTTAGTGGGATTCTGGGCCCTGCCGATTAGCTGCGGTAACTGGTGTTTCTCAGAGCCTCAAAGGGATCCAAGGATGTCAGAAAATAAGGAGACGTGACTAATTATGCAAACGGCTCCAATTATTCTCCAATAAAGCTTGCAGGAATCATTGCATGATTTTTTTAACTCTCCCAGGGATTTTGTCCTCCACAATTAGCCCAATTAAAGTCAGACTGTTATTAGTAGCTATTCCCATTAAACAGCACCACAGGAGATCCCCTTGAGTCTGTTCTTGAATAACGAAGCAGCCTTCTTGTCCACACCACACCAAGACGTGATCCGCTCGTTGGACACGGCGATCTAGTCTTTCTGAGTATTCAAAGCCAGTCTTTCGTGTGCTCACATTTTATTGACAGCTTTACATGGTAACTTACCAAGAGCTGTCTAACATGGTGGATTTCATTGGTTTACACAAGGATTCCTGACTACAAGGTAAGCTCAATAATTTACCTATGACAATGGCCCCAGGAGCAAATAAAAAACTCAAACTTGAGTTCCTCAAGAAATTCTTATAAACTTGTTGGCTAAAATCGCCCTAAATAATAAAATTGCCGGTCAACCAAGATGGAGTCTGATAATATTCAATGCATTTTATTGTGTTTGGGTAAATACATCAAAAAACACAATACAAGTAATCAATAAAAGGAATATAGTCATCTGGTTAATCAAAACTGATCAAACCAACCCTTTGAGACTTATTCTCCTGACTAGGCCTAGGCAGACTGAAAATTGAATGCGAATGGGCTCCAGCTTTTGTATTACTTGTAATTATCCTCATATGTTTGTCCTTCTGTGCCCTTTACTGATGACACTGCATCAAAAAGTGACTGAGGCCCTCACGGCGAACTGCCTCTCTCGGAGTTTAAGATTTATTGTTTGTCTCTTTCTTTTTTACTTCTTTCCTTTTTGTGTTAATCTCTTGTGCCCTCTTCTTAACTGCTTCTCTTGCTGTAAAATTCTCTGGACTAAATTCACCTTTCTCAAAGAATTGCAGAGACCACTAAACTTTCTAAATATTAAATTTGATATATGGCCAAAATACAAGACAAAATTGTGTGTTTGTTCATCGTCTCTCTCCTCTAGAAACACAAGTCCCGGGAGAAGAGGGCCTCTGCCTTGTTCACTGCTGCACCCTAAGAGCCGAGATGTAATAGTCCCTGACGTGACAGATGCTCGAGGAGCATTTGTTGAATGAACAGGTTTCCCTCCCCTGCACAGATGGAGAACTTCCAACTTGGAAGGACCAGCCCAGCTGGCCTCTTGATGGTGGCCATGTGGACGGCCCTGGCTGTGGCCACTCAGGGCAAGCAGCGCTCCACCGTCAGCAGAGACACCTCTGAGGGGCTGTCAGAACCAGGAGCTCGGAGTCCTGGCTTTGTCACCCTCTGCTGCTTCAATAAGCAAGACTGACCAAGACCCAGTCTTGGACACAAGTGCACATCTCTCCAAAGCCAAGACTTACTTGGGGAGAAAGACTTCGGATGAGAGTGGACTTCTGACAGCCAACTGCCATTGAGAGCTGGATATGTGTGTTACTGGGACCACAGCTGTTCACCAGCTTTGCACACTGGGGTCACACTTGTATTCTCCATTTTGAATAAGTACACTCAGCTCCCTGACTTGGCCGTGAATTCTCAAGGGAGTGTTTGGTATGAACTGGGAGTTTTATTGGTTGATGATAAGAAAATAGCTCCTAGAGTTTTAAATCTAGAGAAATGAAGAAGAATTAAAAGTAAGCCAAGATCTTCCTATTTGACTCTATGCTTCACTCATAAGGCCCCTGAAAATAGTTTTTAAACCGTGTGATACTGGAAAATGCATCAGCAGGGAGGCTGACTGAATCAATATCATTAAACATCTGCTGTGATCTGGTGTGGTGTCTGCTTATTCATCCTTCAGGAAAGCCAAAAATAAGCTCCTTTTTTCTGCTTGTTATTCGGAGAACAGCCAGAAAAGAACCTGACCAAGAGTAAAGGGTTGAACTGAGCCACTGACTTCTCGTCTGACCCTGATTCCAACATTTAACTTCTTTTCAACTGTTTCCTCCTCTGTTACACAAGGATCACATTTGTCTGTGTCTCAGAGTTGTTATAAGATTGTACAATGTAGAAAGGCCCTTATGATATAACCTGTCCTATATAAAAAGTGTGCACGCACCCCTTCAGCCACTGAATGCATTTCAAGCAGTATTTACATTGTGAGCCATTTCTTGTCACTGAAGAAAGCAGATGGGCCTCTGCGGTACAAATTTATACAGACAACAAGGTCACTGCTTTGCAAATACATGTGGAAAGCAAAGAGCCCCCTGCACAAAGTGTTCTTGAGAGGGAAGCCCTTATTCCAGCTACAGCTCCAGAAGGATTTGCAGAAGAGAAACCACACCCTGGGGTCACTGAAAGTCAGTCTGGCTCCGGCCAGCAGCTCACCTGTTCCGTTTCGCTTCAGCGCCAGCTCATAGCAGGCAGCACTATCGCTGCTGATGCCAACAGATATCGCTCAGTTAACTCAGCTTCTGCTGATGCAGAGGACGCATCATCACGTGGGAAGTGTTTCTTACCGACTAGGCTCCTCTGAGGAGATGGAAAAGAGCTCTCTAGCATACCCCCTCCATGGTGGAATATGCAATGCTGCCGGATATCAATACAGAAACATGTGAAACCTCATGGCCCCTTCACACGGATGAGTGAGGAAGCACCTCCCCGGGTAGCTGCATGTCCTGGAAAGAAGAAGATGCCCCGGTATGAGAAGGAAGCGCTCCTCTTCCTGATGAATTCAGCCCAAGCCAGAGCACTCTGGCAAGCCCCCGTCAGCCTCCTTGGCTAACACCCCTTGTGCAGTGCACAAACCCTACAACTGCAGGGAATAATTTTTCAGCACTCGAGGACAGTCATTGTCACAGCCTGGCTTTCTAGCAATAACACTGTCCCACACATGTCTGTGTTTCAGAATTTACAAAGCACTTTCAACATGATCTCATATGCTTCCTTCAAGAATCACTTAAGGAGATAGTATTTCTATTTCCCAGATAAGGAGACTTAGATAAAGAAGTTAGGTAGGTTAAAGTATGTGGCTGGTGAGTGGCAAGGCCGGGCGCCAGCCTCCATGTCCCCTTCAGTGCTGCCTCCACAGCATCACGGCTGCTCCTTCTTTGTTCCCAGTTTAAACACAGGCTTATCTGGCTGCTTTTCATGCCTCTATCTCTCCCCACTCACATCATCTTTGTGGAGCCTCAGTCCCTGTCTTTTTAGAGCTTGGAGCTCCAAAATCCAGACACCACAACACAGGTCAACTCATGAGTCAACAGCCTCTGCCCGAGTGCACTGCAAGGGGATGGGGAACCAGACTGCAACCCTGAGCCTGCACGGAGCTCTGCTCTCGAGCTGACAGGACGCCCTTGCACAGAAGCTTGCCTGTGCTGGCTTCTCCCGAGGGTGCGGAATTACAATCCGACACCACAGTCTGACAACGTGGGGGATCAGAACTGGCCACCTCAAAACGTGTCTCTTTGGCTTATTCTTAAGAACAAAAGACGCTGAAAGAAACTTTGACCTTCCCCTTAACTGCCTAAAAGAATTTAAGATGGAAGGCCTGTTCCAGGAAGGAGCTAATACCAGAAGATAACATTGTCTACAGACGGCCCAGCAAACACTTGTTAACAAACATTGCTTCTCCATCTCTGTGCAAATTGCCTTCCTCCCCTTTGGAGACCCAAACCCCCACCCCAGCCTCCTCCTTTGTCTTTAGCTGAAGATGGTATTTAAGGTGGCGGCATTGGCCATTCTGATGAGTTACTCAGTTTTCCTGGGTTTCTCCCATATAAACATGTTGCAAAGCTTTGATTATCTCCTGTTATTCTGTCTCATGTCAATTTAATTCTTAGCTCAGCCAGAAGGACCCACAGGATAGAGGAATTGTCTTCCTCCCCTACAACAACATTCACTGTACTCTCAATGCCACCACACTTACCCTCAGCTTTCCTTACTTTGTACCTGCAGCATTTAATTTTAGATCCTAAATGCCCACTTCAACTTAATCATTTATCATATTAATTTTTAACTCTTTTTCTGACATTCCATTAGCAACTCTCTCCTGGTCCTGCTTGATGTAGTGGAATCTACAAATGTAGCCAAGGTAAGTTCAATGCTTGATTTCAAGTCACGTGGGGCATCTCCATTGTATCTTCTACTAGTGATGGAGCCCTCAGCAGGCACATTACACTGTGTGAGGCTACGACTGTAAACGCACGAGAGCAGGAGTCAGCAAGGGCCTGAGGGTGGATGTCTTAGGTTTTGCAACCCACACGGCCTCTGCTGCAACTACTCAACTCCGCCATTAGAGGCCCAAAGCAGCCACAGGCGCTCCACCAGCAAGCAGGTATGGCTGTGCCCATACGGCTTCATTTACTGACACTAAACTTTGAATTTCATATAATTTTCATCTCACAAAATATTATTTCCTTTTGATTTTTTTCCTGACCATTTAAACATCTAAAAACCATTCCCAGCTCGCAGACTGTACAAAAGCAGGCTACGATTTGGCAAGGTTTGCTAGCCCTGATTGACATATTGTGAGCTAGCTACATACCAGATAAGGGTTGATATCCAAAATATACAAAGAACTCATACAACTCAATTGCAAAAAGACCAAACAACCAAATTTTAAAAATGGGCAGAGGACTTGAATAGACATTTTTCTAAAGAAGACGTGCAAATGGCCAACAGGTACAAGAAAGATGCTCAGCATCACTAATCACAGGGAAAAGCAAATCAAAACCGCAATGAGACGTCACTTCACACATGCCAGAATGGTCATCATCAGAAAGACAAGAAATAACAAGGATGGCGAGGACGTGAGAAAAGGGGACCCTCGTGCACTGTGGGTGGGAACACAAACTGGGGCAACCACTATGGAAAACAGCATGGAGGATCCTCAAAAAGTTAAAAACAAAACTACCATATGACCCAACAATTCCATTTCCGGGAATATATTCAAAGGAAAAGAAATCACTATGTGGAAGAAACATGTGCACCCCCATATTCTTTGAAGCTATTATCATTTACAATACCCAAGACATGGAAAAAACATAGACATGGAAATAACATCGACAGATGAATGGATAAAGAAAATGTGGTGTGTACACACACACACACAGGAAAATTATTCAGCCACACAAAAAGAAGGAAATCCTGCCATCTGCAACAGCAGGATGGACCTTGAGGGCATTATGCTGAGCAAAATAAGTCATGGAAAGACAAATACTGTACGATCTCACTTATAGGTGGAATCTAAAAAAACCAAACTCATAGAAACAGAGAATAGACTGCTGATTGCCAGAGCTGGGGTGTGGTGGGGTGGGGTGGGGGGACTGGGTAAAAGCAGTCAAAAGACACAGACGCCTGTCTGAGACGCATGAGTCCCGGGATGTGAAGCGCAGCACGCTGCTAAAGTCAAGAACACTGCATCATACACTGAAAGCCAATGTAAAAGTAAATCTTAACAGCTCTCCGTCACAAAAAAGTTTGTAACTACGTGAGGTGACGGATTTTAACCAAACTTACCGTGGTGACCATTTCTCAATACACACACATATCAAGTCAGCATGGTGTGCACCCAAAACCAAGACAAAGTTACATGTCAATTACACTTCAACAAAACTGGAAAAGAAAAAATGTCTCCTCTCCTCCTTACATATTCCATTAATTCTACACACAGGTATGTATCCTAGATGATACATTTTTATGAAAAGCCATTAAAACATAAGTAAATAGGAACATTTTGTCAATTTTGGACGCCCAGGTAACTGAGCCCAGTCTGGGCAGCACCGTTTCTGCACTCATGAGTATCACATACAGAGATGGTCACCATTTAATGAAGAAGCGTTTGTTAAGCGTTTACTGTGAACTCAGATGAAGGGCACGTGAAAAAGGAAGATGTACCCCTTTCAGTGAACTAACACTTTGGTGGAGGATTATATTTAAAAATAAATAAAAATAAAACCATTCTCAGCTCACAGACTACAAAAGCAGGCAGGTGTGCTGGCCCTGACGTGGACATCAGTCCTTGTACTAGCACACTGAGCTCGGGACAACTGTGCCCCACCCCGTTCCCAGGCAGTAAAACCACTAGAATCAAGTCCTAAAGCCCAGAGGGAAAACTAATAAAAATACCTTCAATGAAATACAGTTCAAAGGCTCCCTTCGTGTTTGATCACAGATTGCATTCATTTATTCACAGGAGGTTTCAGATTTTCATATTTCCCTTTTCTGTTCAAACTTCTGCTTGATGAAGCATCACAGAAAAAGCATGAGAAGACTCTGACTCCACGTTAACAATGAGCAGCTCCAGCATGAGCAATGGCTGTCCCTTGCTGCCTTTGGCCTGATGTCTGACCGGCCACACTGACGTTGCCTTCCTGTTTCAGGTCATTTTAATTCAGGTCCCACAGTCCAGGCCCCGGGTACTTGGTTTCTAGTTTGGTTGCATGCTTCTGTGAGTTAAATGTTTCGGATTCATGGCAGAGGGTTCTGGACAAATCCCTTTTCAAGAGGAATTTCAAGCTGGTAGGATGAATTGGGGAGAAGAATAAAGAAACGGAGAGATCACTTGTGCTGGAAAACGTAAAGTCTCCTCCCACACTACTGGCCTCATCAGGACTTGGACCTGAAAAAACTACACACTAGAAGATGAGAAACCTGTATCCTGTGGATTTGGCTATTCCGGGCTTTTGCTGTAAGGCCTGGATCACAGACTGCTGCCTAAGCCCTCCTGGGTTTCACAGGGCTGACTGGTGCCTTCCTTCCTTGTCTTGCTCAGTCCACCGTCGCCTCTGCTCCTCGCTGCTTCTGCCTCAACCAGGGATCTCTCAGCTTCTGCCCCTAACAGTTGCCTCCTCCTCCGTTGTGGTGGCTGTCCCATGGCAAAGTCTCTTTTTGAACTAGAGAGACTCTTCCCTCAGCATTCTGCTCTTTTCAAAGGGCAAAGTTGGGTACTTAGGGAGGAGAAGAATGCAAATTAAAACCAGAAGGCACTATGCTTCTGTATCAGATCAATAATGAATATATAATATAACGGAATAGACACATAATATATATATTCAATGTTGTAAAGGTGTCAGGAAACATTTTCACGAATTACAGGGGCACAGGAAGTCAGAACACTGGATGGCCTGGGGTACCATCTGCACATACGTCAAGGGCCTTGAAGCTGTTTGGTCCTTTAACCGCAGAAGAATCCTCAATATAGAAAAAAGCTTTCAGCACAAAGACATTCATTATAACATAATCACGGCAGAAAAAGGAAGCCCTAAATATCCAGCCATAGGGGAAGACTCAGTTAACTGAGCCGCATACAACTGATGAGTGGTGTAAGGACTTATAATACTACAAGGAAAAGTGAAAAAGCTGGATACACAGTTGTACGTACAGTATGACTCCCGCTTTTCAAAAGGATATTTGCACAGAAGCAAATTGGAAGAAAATATCCCAATAACTGGAAGTTTCCTCCCCTGCTCTCTGCACTTGTGTGATGAGGGCGGCGGCACAGACAGTACTCACAACGTGTGATCCGTTAGTGGTGTACTAGAGTGTTCAGAGAAAAGAGCTGAACGTAAAGTTGCAGAAACAAGATGAATGCAATGATTAAAAAAACGAAAACTCCACATTAAGGGCATCAAATTTAAACACCGACAGGAGCCAGACATGGCCCCTTCCAAGGGGACTGCCTCTCCTCAGCTCCTGCCGTCTGGAATTGCAGATTCAATTTTTTCAAGAAAAACCATAACTCTGGATTTAATGTGAAATCTCTTCATTTTTGCATGTTAAAATCTAACTTAAATTATAAATATACTGCATGGGCCAAGTAAAATGTGCCAGATGTTTCTCTGGCCCAGAGGCTGCCTGTCTGCACCTTCTGCTGTACATTCAAGTAAATACACACATCACACGTGCACAACCTCAGACAGACTCCAGGCAAAGTGGAGATAGTCACGGTGGCTGGATGAAGGGACTCCAGTGACTCCTATTGTTTTCTACACTCCCATATGTTATAAATTTTCTTTAATATGCACTATCCTTTTATACTGGAAGCTTTAAGGCATTATTTTTTCACCAAAGTACAGAGGTTTTTTTTTTTTCTTGGTGAGGAAGATTAGCCCTGAGCTAACATCTGTGCCAATCTTCCTCTATTTTGTATGTGGGACACCTCCACAGCACGGCTGATGAGTGGAGTAGCTCTATGCCTGGGATCTGAACCCATGAACTTGGGCCGCTGAAGCGGAGTATGCAGAATTAACTACTTGGCCGTGGTGCTGGACCCCAGAGTTTATCTTTTTTTGAAGATTTCTCAAGATCTGGAGCTTCCTTTTCTCTTTTTTTTAGGCAATTCTTTTCTTTTCTTTCTTTTTTTTTTCTTTGCAGGGGAAGATTCACCCTAAGCTAACATCTGTTGCCAATCTTCCTCCTTTTTTCTTCCTTTTTCCCTCAAAGCCCCAGTACAGAGTTGTGTATAGTTGTAAGTTCCTCTGGTTCTTCTCTGTGAGCTGCCACCACAGCATGGCTGCCCACAGACGAGTGACGTGGTTCCACGCCCAGGAACTGAACCCAGGCCGCCAAAGCAGAGTGTGCGGAACTCTAATGGCTAGGCCAGCAGGGCTTGCTCTGGAGCTCTTTTTCTTATTTCTCTCTACATACTATAGGCATTAAATTAAGCTTTTAATTGTTCTTAAATAGATGTTACAGAAACCACTGACAGATCATACATAGATACAAGACTTAGAGACACCAGCATAAACAATGACAACCATGAAAGTGGACAGTCAGGTGGGACGTCATTCCCACGTTGCTGCCAGTCACCCTTGCTCTCCCCAGCCCTTTGCCTTCATCCCTCTGAAACCCATTAGAAAGAATTGTGTCCCTTGAGCTGACTTCATTACAAGAGAGCAGCCGAGGAGGAGGAGGGGGGCAGCAGCTAAGCTTATGAGAACTTAGGATAATGCAGGAAGAGTTGATGGCTTGGAGAAAGATGTCAGGGAAATAATCCGTAACCAATCTATAAATGAAAATTTGGGAGAGTTTATCCTGAGCTGAAATCTGAGGACTATGGCCCGGGGCCTTTCTTCCCGAAGCAAGAAAGGGCACCAAAGAAGTGAGGTATACAGAGTGGTTATTTACCCCCAAACAGGGTGTTTCACATATGATTGAAATGTCCCTCCCACAATAGTCATGAGATTGCCCTATCGGCACAGCACTTGATGGACACAGCAGGTAGTGGGTCTGCTATCTCCAAGGGCGCAGCAGGAGGCAAGTCTATTGTCTTGAGCTGGGAGGTCACAGGTGAGTGGAGCAATCAGTTTCTAGCCTAAGGAAAGATGCTTAATCCTTAAGGAGATGCCAACATTGGGAGGGGGAGGGAAGTTGCACCTTTATCTCAAGGGCCTTTGTTCTTGCCATAGGGAATGTCTGAAGCAGATACGCAATGCATGCTCAACAGCCACAGTCAGGCCCTTTTGGAAAAATAAGGTCAAGCCGAATTAGGTTTACACCAAATGGCTTCCTCATATCCTCCAATATATCCTATTGCTTGCCATTTCTATTCTGTCAAAGTGAAAGATTTTACTCTTACCTTGAATTATTTTACAAAACTTTGAAAGCTGAGCTGTTTCTCCAGACATTAAAAAAAAAATGGGGAGCAAAAGACCATCTGCAGTTCTACTCAGGACAGGGCTGCAGATGTCGGAGAAAAGGCAGAAGGAAGTTGCATTCGCTTTTCTGCAATTCAAGACACTAAGGGCCCTTTTAATTTCCTTTACATTTTCCTTCTAAGTTCAAAGGGATGGTTCACGTTTCACTTTGTGCTTAGAGGTGGCAGGAGTCTATTCTCATTCATTCTTTTGCTTCTCCTTGAGAATGGCCCCTGTTTCCAGGGCTGCTCTAGAGCCTGGGGGGTGGGGGTGGGACTTCCTGCCTCATCTGACAGAGAAGTGTTTGGAGAGGTGGGTTTCCCGGAGTCCTAGGGCACTGGGGGGCCGGGGGTCGTGAGGTGAGGTGGCTGGGGGAAGGGTTTGTACACCTCGGAACTTCTGCCGGGACTGCCTGGTGTTTCCCGGATTTGTCCCCAAACGGTTACGTGGTTTGTCTCAGTGATGTGCTGGTAAACGTTTAACGACCAGTTCTCTGAGGAAAAGAACCTTGATTTACTGCATCTGCTGATTTTCGTGGTGTAAACACTCCCACTCTAGCTGATTTCCAGCCACCAACCTGCCGTGCAGAGCCAGGAAGAGACGCAGTGCACTCCTCCAGCTCACCTTAGCTCCTGTGCTGCCACACAGCCAAGCCCAGGGGTTGCTGCTTCCCAGCGAGGAGCTCAGCCTGGAAGACCTCCGTGCGGGAAGTCCAGCTCTACCCTCTGATGCTGCTTTGACCTCTTTGTTAGAACAGTCTTACGCCATGATCTTTCTCAGCGAGTCAGATTGCTATATGTCTCTTCCTATATTTTATCTTTTTCACTGCATTGATTTTATTTCTTTACTGTTGTTTATTTCAGATGGGGGACACTGAATTTGAGTCGCTCCTTCCCTCAAAAGGGTAGGGAGGTCATGCCATGGTCAGCAATAAGAGGTCCTCTCGTGCTCACTTCGCAGCACGAATACTAAAAGTGGAACGACACAGAGAAGACGAGCATGGCCTCTGCACAGGAAAGGCATGGAAATTCGTGAAAAGTGTTCCACATTTATCTAGGAACCACCTATCCATCTGGTGGTTCCGGATCACTCAGACAGATGCTTAGGCTGAGGATGGCTTTTTTCTCTAACTCTGAGTTAATTCTGTCCCCGTGTCACCATCCTAAGTCTTCTCAGAAATCATTGAAATGACATGGCTGGAACGTGTATTGGGTTTAAAGTCCAAGTCTGACTCCACCACTGGCTTCCTGTGTGACCTGCCACATGTCACTGAAGCCTCTCAGGAACTTTATTTTTCCTAAATTGAACCTCAAGCAAGAAAAGGTCGCTCAATCCTGACTCACACCGGCAAAATACAATGAATGGAAAATTCTCTCCGTTGGATCTGCCCTTTCCTCCCCAACCAGGGCTCTACAGTAAGAGAACCTACGGGCCCTTGGGGATGAGGAACGACCGTTGCTTCCAGCTTGTGTTGATTTGTACTCTGTCAGGAAGCACAGATCCCAAGCTCATCAGAGACTGCTTAACTTCCATAGGAAGCACACAGGAGGAAATTCCTCTTTACCTGTGCTGGACACACCACTGCTGCGACCCTACGTTTCACGCCTTTTCTCTACACAGACATGCCTGGACCTTTGCTGTCTTCTTTGTCACTTCTTTGTGTCTTCTTCCTTGCCATCTTTGTGTTAAGCCCCTTCATTTACCACCAACCTCTAAGTATTTATGAAATGACTTAAAAATTAAGGAGAGAGAGAGAGAAAAAGAGGTCTTCTCAATTCATTTAAAACAGTTACGAGGGTCAAAATAACAATATATTTGTTTAATTTTTACTATGAAAGTAAAATATGTTCTTTGCAGAATATTAAGAAATATGGTTAGCAAAAGAAGAAGAAAATAAGCAAAATGAAATAAATAAAAACCACCCATAATTCTAACAACCAGATATAACCACTGTAAATAACTGGCATATTTCTTTCTAGACATACACATAACGTTAGTGTTCACAAAATGAGTTCATACCGGACATCCTGTTTGGCAACCCTCTCCTTTCTACGTCAATAAACACTTTTTGTTTTGGGGTTTTTTTGAGGAAGATTAGCCCTGAGCTAACATCTGCTGCCAATTCTCCTCTTTTTTTTTTTTTTTTGCTGAGGAAGACTGGCCCTGAGCTAACATCCGTGCCCACCTTCCTCTACTTTACATGTGGGACGCCTGCCACAGCATGGCTTGCCAAGCGGTGCCATATCCATACCCGGGATCCGAACCAGCAAACCACGGGCCTCAGAAGCGGAATGTGTGAACCTAAACGCTGCGTCACTGCACCAGCCCAATAAACACATTTTTATTGTATCACTTTTAATGGTTGCAGGGTGAGTATTCCATTATACTGACATACCTTGTTTAACGAATACCCTATAGTTGGGCATTGAGGCTGTTTCTTCTATTTTGCATCTTTGTACTTGCATTTTCATATATTTGTGTGATTTTTCTTCTAGGCTAAATTTCTGAAAATGTAACTGCTTGATCAAAGAGTCCCAGATTTTTTTAGACTTTTGATTGGGCTGCCAAATCAAAGCTATAGATTACAAGGCTGGGGAAGTGAAGCCGGGTGCATCTGGAAGGAGTTTAACTTAACTGACAGAACGCTATTATACAGTGGGAACAGGAAATAACTTGTACTTAAAATGACCGCTGAGGGAGGAGGGGAAAAGGAGGCCCGACCTTAACCCAGAAAAGGATTTCCTAGAAAGGTGGAAGAAGGCCCGAGCAGGACCCCGGAAGGCGGTGTGTCGCGATCTGCTGTCTGAGACCTCAGAGGTTGGCGCTTCGGAACCACGCTCAGCCGCCTCCTGAGAGATCAGGAACACCAGCTCTGCGTCCAGACTGGGGCCGCGCCCTGGGTGACGGGCTCCTGCCGCAGCCCTGCTGGTCAGACGCCCCGACTCGGGGGCTCAGAACACCCGGCTCTGTCCCCCTCCTCACCGCCCTGCAGTGGTGGCAGCAGCTCCTCCAGACTGAGGCCAGACACAGGATGCAGGAAGCAGGAAGCAGGATGCAGGATGCAGGATGCAGGATGCGGAGCTCCCTGGGCATCCTCCTCCAGGACCACTGAAGGACCGCAGCTGCCGGGGCGGGACTAAGGCCGCTGCCCTCAAGATGGCGTCGGACTGTCACGTGGACTCCTCTGTCCATACCCATTGGCCAAAGTGAGTCACGTGGCAAGCCCACCGGAAGGGCGGGGAGGGGGCATGGGCTGAACGCGGGCTGGGGGCTGCGGTGCTACCCGGGCGGGGTCCAAGGGGCGGTCGCTGGGGTCCCCTTGACGGTGGCCAGGGAGAAAAGTGCAGACGCGGACAGCGCGGAGGCACGGAGCCGGGCAGCTGGCTGTGTACCTCCCTGGCGGAAGCCCCGCGCCGCCCCTGACCACCGCCGGGTCGCCCCGAGGAAGGGCTCACAGCGCTGCCGGCCACGTGGGTCCTGGTTGGCGGGCCTGCCGTTTCTACATAGGATCTGGGAGGGCTTTCTTTAAGAAGAGAAGTGCAGAATTACAAATATAAAATTAGATTAAAAAGTGTTTAAGATGAAAAAAGAAACCACAATCACACATTTTGAAAAAATTTATATTACCAACAAAAATAACCCCAAATCCGGAAAAATGAGATCTTTTAATTAACCAACTACTTGACACACCTCTACAATCTGTTTTTCTGCATTTTTTGGCTGTAAATGTTTTGGTGATCTGTATTTGACAACAATTTTATAATATCCTTTCGATAGAGAGAAGAGAGAGATTTAGTTATTCCTCTAGCATGGTGGATTCTGACTGTATATTTCAAACTTGTTTCTGCTCCACAACCCTCAGGCTTGCAGCACCGGGCACCCGGGGCCATGTTCATAGCGTGATACCACCACTGGCCCTGGACCTTCACGTTGGATGAATTAAGGCACCCGTCAGAAAGAGCATTCCTGGAAACAACGCAGATGTCTGTCAAGTGGTAAATGGATGAACAAAATAAAATGTTTAGCTATAAAAAGGAATAAAGTACCGATTCATAGTACAACATGGATGAATCTTGAAAACATTATGCTAAGTGAAAGAAGCCAGACACAAAAGGCCACGTATTTTATGATTCCATTTATATGAAATGTCCAGAATAAGCAAATTCATAGAGACAGAAAGTGGCTTGGGAAAGGATTAAGAGATTAGGAGCTGGCTGGCAGTAGGAGGAGGGAAGAGAGAGTAATGGGGTTTCTTTTGGGGGGTGGTGAAAGTGTTCTAGAATTAGATAGTAGTGATAGTTGCACAGCCTTGTGAATATACTAAAATCAGTGAATTTTATGCTTTAAGAGGGTAAATTTTATGGTATATGAATTATATCTCAATTTTAAAAAAAGGACATTCCTGAAAGTCATTCCTGCGTTCAAACAGCTGGAAATAACTGTAGCCAGAAGTGCCTGCACACTGTGTAAATACATCATACGGAACCCAACTCAATGTATCTTGAACTTAACGTCCCTTTAGCCAGATACCAAAATACCCTTGGCTGCCACACGAGGTGAAAACATGGTGCTGGGGGAAGTCAGCACAGCAGGAAACATTGGTTTTACTTTTGCAAACTTTATAAAAACATACGACCAAGTGAACACAATGTCAGGGCCCTGAAAGGGGCCCGTGCAAATGAGGGCTCTGAAGTTTAAGTACCAAGTTAATCCTTTCATGCCCAGTCATTCCCCTCCCCACCCCCACCCCTGTGAGGGCCACACACATTTAAAGTTTAGAAAATGGTCAAGTGGTCTTGAATCTTTTTTTTCTCACTGAGGAAGATTTGCCCTGAGCTAACATCTGTGCCAATTTTCCTCTTTTTTTGTTTGAGGAAGATTTGCCCTGACCTAACATCCATGTCAATCCTCGCCTACTTTTTATGTGAGATGCCACAACAGCATGGCTGATGAGTGGTGTAGGTCCCCACCTGGGATCCGGACCAGTGAACCAAGGCGGCTGAAGTGGAGCATGCCGAACTTGAATCACTACGCCACAGGGCTGTCCCCCGTGAATCTTTTTATATGGCTTCTTGAAGGAAACAAAGCAATAATTTCTTAACTAAGGTATTAAATCCTATTTACCTTGTACCTGAATAGACTGACACACTTCCCCTGGAAGGAAAAAAAGCTTATTTTCCTTGTCCAGGACTTTGCAATTTTTTCCTTCTCCATGAAATAGAGAGTAGCCTCTGATTGGGGTCTCTCTCAGTAGGGTCTGCCCCTGCCCAGAGGATCAAAGGACAAATTTCATTTCACCACCAAGGCCTGAGGAGAATTCCAGAGCCCTCTGCACTCTTTGCACTGATGACTCAGTCCCTGGGCTGGCGCTCCGGCTCCTGGAATCCCCTCTGTGTTGCCCTGATCGCCTCGTGGAGCTGGCTGGCTCTTGCTCAGCTGGTTTGGACTCAGGTGTCCATAAATTCTCCAGCTTCCTGGAACCAAACTGTTTCTCAGCCCAGAGGAAGCAGCTCTGCCAGATCCGGGGGCTTGAAATTCACTTATTTTAGGGTTATATAATTCCAAATTCCAAAGCATCAGTAAAGATATTTTTCTGACTTTATGTTTCTGACTTTGAGTCACCCATTTCCCAATGACCAAAAAATATTCTTTTGCGTGCAAACTTCTAACCTTCCACTCAGGTATTAACAAAAAATCATGTTTAAGAAAAATAAATTGTCCCTGCTTCCTAACCAAATTTTCACTTCCTCTTCTCATCTCATTTTCAGCAAAGATGTGTGAGTAAACACTAGTCTCAGTGCCACCAGAGGGTTGGCTCCCGGGACACCTGGCTGGTTTAGCCAAAACTGAGACTTTCTTTCAAAATGGTGGACCAGGTACAAGTTGCACTGCCCTGCAGATTCCTAGAAACAGTGTGCTTAAAAACTGGGTTAAGAATTTGGTCATAAATAACTTAAAGAATAAAAGTTGAGGAGGTTGGATTGAAAAGGACATCTGTAGTGCAGACTCCTCTGAGGCCTCTGAGAAGGCAGGAGCGGACTAAGAGGAGTGTG